AAAGCCACCTGACCACCATAGAGATGGTGATACACCCCCGCCAAAAAATCAGACGCGAAGAGCCGAGGAGAAGGCTGAACCAGCCATGTACCGGACCGGTCCGACTTGCCGAAAGAGGCGGAGGCGCAGGAAAAAGCCCCAGGTTCGGACACCGATCAAGCAGCGCCTGAAAACAAGCTGGGCTGGCCACCAAGGGGCCACAAAGACTACACGGGAAGGACTCCAACCGAGCCAGAACCCGAAGCAACAGCTGAACCGGGGAAAGAGGTACAAGTAACTCCACCTCGACCTGTCCTGCCGAAAGGCATCCACTGCGAACGCCTCGCAGGCTGGGAAGGGCGCCACATAGAATGGGAGACGCCGAGACCACGCTGACGCAAAGACGTCCATATCCACAAGTCCATACGTCCGGCAGAGCCAACAAAAGTGGCAACGACTGGCCAATCCGTGAACAGAGGAATGAACCGAGGCCATCCGCCAGAACGCAGGACACTCCCCAGACACGAAACGCACAGAGAGCCAAAGCCCCAAGAATCCAGCAGACGAGCCACTCGAAGGGACCAACCCCAAACGGAAAGGACCGAAGAGAACCCCCGTGGTTCTGGCAATGAACCACTGGAGAACAGTTCAAATGGAGCCGGATGGTAAGAGCCCAGAGTGACTCGAACCCTCCGAAGTGCAACCAGACAGCCACGAACTCCTGAACCGTGCTGGGATACCCACGGAAGGACGGACCACACCGTCCCCGACCGGCCTGTGAGCACTGATCACAAAGCCCCAGCTGAGAGACGACCTATCCGTGAACACATCCGTCCGTGTTGCCCTTGTTTGTCTCTGGGTAGTAGGTAGTTTTCATCACTGGTAGGGGCACGGAGTACTGCACAGCTAGTTTTCACCAATAATAGTGGCCAGCGAGGTTCCGCCTGGGTACGTTGTCCTTTTGCGGGGTTTTTCTTTTGTTTTTGCCTGATGGGGAGGGGGTCTGCCTTTGTGGTCCCCTGTTGCTGTTTTGGGGGTATTTATACGTTTATCTTCTGTTTGATGGTCCTCTCTGCTTGGTCCCCAAGAGTGGACACGTCCCAGGGGTTTAGCTTTTAGAAGTTTGTTTGGTAGACTTGAGCGCCGGTTTGCAGTACCCTGCCTGGGCTTCCCTTAGCATGTAACCATGGCTAAGGGCCCTGGGAAAACCTATGGGGGCTACATGGTCCGATGGATGTGACTCCTGAGTTCCCCTTTGCATCTTGCGAGTTTGAAGGTTGCTCTGTCCCCTTGTCTCAGGGTGACACTCACCGGTTGTGCCTCTGCCAGCATGCCTGTTGGGTCGGCGTTTCTTTTGACCCGGAGTCGTGCGATGGATACTGTCTGAACGTGCTCTCGTTCACCCTAGCCACTGATCATGATAAGCAGGTGCGGGCAGCTGCAGCGTTGCATGCTAGATTTAGGTTGCTGCAACGCTCTAGGAAGGTTGCGGCCCCGGATGCCCCAAGACTGTCCCGTTTTGGTTATAGGGATCCGGACTTTGGGGTGGGAGTCGCTTTGGCTCTGGTTCCGTCCAATGCTCCTAGTCCTTCCCCTTCTGTTGGGCATACTTCCTCCCCTTGCTTTCGGCTTTCGGGTTTCAGGTTTGGTGCAAGGTCTGGTTGGGTTGAGACTCGAGCAGTCTTGGGGGTTTTCCTCTTCCGGGGTGGTGCGGAGGCACTCGAGCCTTTTCCTCCAGCCATACTGTATGGGTCTGACCCATACAGGGAAGATTTCCTGAGACCTGGAACTTTAAGAACAAGAGGTCATAGATTTAAACTAGCTAAACACAGATGCTGAAGAAATATAAGAAAATTCACTTTCGCAAACAGAGTGGTAGACGGTTGGAACAAGTTAGGTGAGAAGGCGGTGGAGGCCAAGACCGTCAGTAGTTTCAAAGCGTTAAATGACAAAGAGTGCTGGGAAGACGGGACACCACGAGCATAGCTCTCATCCTGTAACTACACTTAGGTAATTACACTCCTGAGTGCTTTGTCAAGGTCTCATAATATGGTTAGGATAATACATCTCAACATCTAATATGTTGAGATGCAAGTCTCGTTTAAACTATAGACTCAGACCTTGATAAAGCACATAAAAGTGCAAAAAGACATGGTGTAAATCTTTACATAAAATACACAAGCACATTTAAGTGTGGTGTTTTATCCAATATTTTTATGGCTACACTAACATGTTGGCTTATAAAGTTTCTTGTTGTCGTTTCCATGAATTGATTATCTATGTACCAGTACCTGCAGAGCTTCCTATTCTCCCAGTCTATCTTATCATGATTAAGAGTCAGGACCCATTCCTATTTGCAACCAAGGCAGCCCTTTCCAGGGTAGTAATAACCGCCCTATTGTTTGTCATAACCTATTCTCCATCTACGTTGAGTGAAATAGTATACGTGGTGAGGGTAGTATATGGTGCGGCTGTCAATGGTGTTTGGAGAGGAGTTTAGTGAATGGGGGTATTGAGTCTGATTTACTATTTACTGCTCATGTTTAGCAGTCCCTGTGGTGCAGTGGTAAAGCATTCGCCAGGCGCTTTGTAAACGCTTTGGCTTGGGTTCATATCCTGGTCGAGGAGGATTGACTGGATGCAAATCCTTAACCATAACCTCTGTTCGTCCAGCAGTGAATGAATATCTGGTTGTTGAATGATTTGGCGGGTTGTATTCCGGGGAAAACTTAGGATTAAGGACCTGCCTGAAACGCTATGCATGCTAGTGGCTTTACAAGAATGTAAGAACTCTTGTATATTAAAAAAAAAAAAAAAAAAATTATAATGGGAAGTTGGGATGAAATTTTACCATAGATGAGGGGAGAGGTAAAGGAACGGTGGGAGATGACTGGAATCGGAGCCGAGTTTTCTAGGATGAGCATTGACCCGTCACAAACGGGAAGCATTACTATAATTACTGTACTGGCTGAAAACAGAACTGTATTTCGAGATATTAATGGAAATGAAACGTCAGATACAGGGCAAATTTTATTTACTCGACAAAACAAATGAAAACTTCACAGTGAAATAAAAAGAAAGGATTGTACTTGATTAAAAGGAACATATCACTAAAAGTATTAAAAAAGTAGCACAATAATAAGCCCATGATGAGGACAACACATGCACTATAGAAATACAAAAGCTAACACTGAAGTTTTGCTATATGTTATGTCTACAGTGCTTTACTCTCAACCTCATTCTACTCTCTACTGAATTGGGAACTATTCTTGCACTATCGCAAAAAACCAGCGTTGAATGTAATGAAATGCCATGTTCTGGGTGAGCCCCAGAGGCTCCCTGGAGCTATCAGGCTGGTATGTGTTATATTAGTCTGGGGCATCAGTCAATTGTAGTTCAGCCTACCGGGACCATGAGCCAGAACCTGGCCCTGCTCAGAGAGGCAAAGGGAGCAATGGCTTATAGAAACCCCCATGTGGGCATTCCATGTCTGCCATCAACTAGGGTTGGCACCCAGAAAGGTAGGCATAACAAAACAAACTCCACTTGGTAAGAAAATGCCACAAAAAAATTAACAGGGAAGCAGAACTCACCCTACAACTTAATAAAACAAACAACCATCACACCTCACTGCCTGTCCGCGCAGGCTCCCCCTCCCCATCAGGAGGAAGACGGGGACGGGGAGCCCTGGACCCCCCATGCTGGTTACCCAAGCCATCCAATTTGGAGGCTGAGCATCAAAAAGGAAATGGAACCGCCGACAGGAGGGAGGGTGGGTTGCCAGCACGGGGGGTCCAGGGCTTCCCCCTCTCCCTTCTGATGGGGAGGGGGAGCCCTCAGCAGGCGTGCCGCCAACTTAGAGATCGTGTCCCCGGCATGCAGCCTAGCGTGCAGGCAAGCGCACAGCGACACCGAAATGTGTATGTATACTCGTTTCAGTTTTTTCACCTAAATTCTCGTGCTACATCGTTCGTTTTGGTATCATTGTGTTCACAATTAGATTCCCTGCAGGTGTATTTGCATATAATGTCCAAAAGCAAGGCGTGACTCCCCGCAGCAAAGCCTAAAGTTACCCGTGAACGAGCACCAATTTGCACACAGCAACCTAATGTGTATACTCGTTCAGTTTGATATCAATTTTCCTGTTACGTTTATCATTTTGGTATCAAATTGTTTGCAATATAAAGGCGCGTATTTTAAAACTACTCCCATAATAATAGACATAACTGGAATTTTAACAAATATTTAAATTTTGAATGCTCGTCATCACAAAATTATTTACATCTTTCCAGTGTTCTGACAAATTTTCATATTACATCTTTCATTTTGGTATCAAATTGTTCACAATCTAAAGGTGCGCATTTTAAAACTAATCCCATACTAATACCACAATAAATATAATTTTAACAGATATTTTAAAATTTTGACCAACAACGTATTTATAATCTCTCAAGTGTTCTGATATCAAGTTTCGAGTTACATCTTTTATTTTGGTATCAAATTATGCACACTCTAAAGGCGCTCATTTTGAAACTATCCCGAAGTCGATTGGATAATAAATGAATTTTACACAAATATTTTTTTATTGGACGCGTATTCAGTCCGACGCTCGGACACGAGAGAAAAAAATCGGACACGTGGTGTGTCTGTAGAGTGCGAAAGTGTTAAGAGGAAGACGAAGTAGTAAGAGAGAATAAACTCAAGTGTAAACATACCTAGTTTGGCATTATAGTATGTTGAATAAGAATAAGTAACTTATAAGCTACAAAAATGTATAATAATAAAAATAATACTTATTGCGGCGTAACACCACTAATGAGCACGAATTATAACAATGAGGCTAAAGGTTAGGTTACTGGGACCATGATCCCCAAGGTCACTTCAAGGCACCACAACTCTTCAATTACCAACCATACCACTTTATGACATGTAATAAGTACAGTACATGACCAAAAGGAGCTGTATGTGAACAGTGCTATCTATTGACAACATATTTATACACAACAAATAATGCTATTAAC